TATTTCTAATAATACTTGGAGAGATTTTCTTTAATATTGTTCTAGTATCCTAACTTTGTTCTGCAGCTTAATCCATGATTCAGGAAAGTTTGTTTCGAGGAAGAAGATTCCACGTTAAACTTTTGAAGTTTTTGATTGCCGTGCTGCTTTTGGAAAAAAAGAAATAGCACAGCAATCAGTTCCTGGTAAATTAATTGTCTTTTTCGTCGAGGATGGAGGTTTTTTTTGGTGAAACTGTCTCTCAGTGAAGCTTAGCGCATAGTCATTTTTAGTATTAACTAATTTCTTATTTATGTCAGTTTTGCGAAACGGTTTGTAAGTCTAATTGTATGTGACTATGTAAATATTTGTCGAGACGTAATTTTTATCCAGACATAGTTTGTCGCAGAAATCTGCGAAACAGTTCATCGAAAATTATTTTTCTTCCTCACTTTGACAGTTATTCTAAAAGGATAATGTCGAGATCTGCTGTACCTAATTTTTGCTGGCCTTATTGGCTTTTTGTTTCTGCTTAACTTTAGAGGTTTTTCTGATAACCTGGACAGAAATAGAACAGATGATGAAAGCTTTCCAGTGGTGCAGAGAAAAAAATATGCTGATTACCTAACTTCATAAGCGATATTTAGACCCCAGAGGTCTGTTGACATGTTATTTTAGGGTTTTTTCTGTGTCGGTTCACATCGGTGTATGCAATATTGCATCAGGAATTCCATGTTACGTATCGATTGAAGGATTTTTAAACGTGAATTGAGGGGTGTTTGAGTAAATTAATGGCTGATAATAATTTAACAGTTTTTTTAAGAGGGTTCTCTTTTTGGTGATGTTTTTGGTCTTACAAACTTATGAAAGCGTTCGTCTTTTTTTTTTTTTTTTTTTTTTCTGCATTTCTCTTAGACCCTTAGTTTAGCTGTTGGCAAATGTTTGGGGAGAGGGCCCAGTTTTATCCACACTACATCTAAGAGAGAAATTGACGGATATACTTAAGTTCCCTGTCTTTCAACTAAACTAGTATGGTAATGTTATTATTTGTGCAAAAAAAGAAAACCTACAAAGAAGATTAAGCTGACAGTGAGGATGGAGCTGAGTCCTTTTTTTTTCCAAAGAAGCTTACATCAATTTATCAGGAAAAAACAATATCTTATTGTTTTTTTTTCACTTTTCCTTCCGTCCCGTTTTCTGTTTTCTCTTTGCTCATTTTCCATTTTAGCATTCCTTTTTCCATCTCATTTGTTGTTTTTCATTCCAGCTATGGACTGCATACTTCTGCTGACTTTAGAGACATGGCGATGGCAACCACAGCAACAGCAGCCGCAGCAGCAGCGGCAGCAGCAACGACGTCAACCGCATAACAACATGGCCGGGCCGCAGACACAGACACGCAGACACAAACTAAGATCAACTGGGCATATAACACACGTCGGCAAACCAAAATTCGATCGATGCGGTAGGCTGTAATGTAGAAATCAGTTATATACTTTTATTTTTTTCTACATGCTTATTTTGTATTTTCACTCTTTAGAGGTTTTCTTCCTGATTTTCCAGAATAAGGTTTATGAAGAGAATGGATCAGCGTTGGTGAGCACAAAGCAGAAGTTATCTGCTTTTTTTTTCTTTTTATTTTCAGTTATTGGCGTAAAACACTCAATGTCGTTTCAGATTTGCCTTTCACAAGGACTTTTTCTTGGCTTAGTGGTTTTGTTAGTCTTTTTTCTGGGCTTTTAGTAGAAGACATTAGTCATGCAGGATCTTGAAAGGTTCTTGTCCTTTTTTTTTTCTTTTATTTGTTTGCTTGCTCTGGGTGATATACAGCTGTTTGAGATCGATATGTTTTATGGGTGGGTTTCGAGTTTAACGAGGAATAGACGCGTTGTATTGTTAAACTTTTATAAAACTTCGTCGACAATGAACCTGGTGTTTAAAGTCTGGTATTGAAAGATCCGTTTCAAATGAATTAGAAATCCTAAAAGAATCAAACTTTTTTCCCCTCTAACAGCTGATTGGTAAGGAGTTTCTAGTGGCCAAAGTACAGGTAAGGTTGTTTAGCACTTGAGTATATTTTCACAACGGGAATTGATGTATGTCAGGTTTTTTTCTGTCTGGAAGCATGCCGATTTTTTACTCAGCTTATATTAAAAAAAATTCAAGAAGTTTTTTGCGAGATATACAGCACAGGGTTTTTGTGGTTGTTTAAGTATCCATTAGCAAGCGACTTTATCTTTCTGTGCTAGTGAAATACCAGTCGTTGACTACGCATCTTTTTATTATGACTTTTGAGAGGGGAAAGAAATGTCATGTAGATTTGCCAATGTAAACGTCAGTCAATTTCAGTGGCTGTCTCTTTGAGATTTTTTTGGCTGGGCTTGAAAATGGGACTTGTTCAAATATCCCGGTGTAGATATCCCGAGAAAAAGTCGACAGAGGAAATCCGATGTTGTGGGATGGTATTTTTTATCCTACATAAATATTGGTGTACTTAGTCTGCGCTTTACTTGTTTATACAATCAATAATTGGTTCACGTGCAGCTTCAGTGAAAATAGAAATGAATGGCAAGCAGTTTACGCACTGGTTTTCGTAGGCAGTATGGTCTATGCATTTCTTTGGACCAGTTGGTGACGTTGCAATAAAGAAGCTACAACGGATGGGGCAATAGTGTATTGCATGATGCCTAGGTTTTTCTTCTTGCATTTTTCTTTCATACAGAGTGTCACTGTAATGCGTTTTGAACGCTATTTTTTGATTGTTTTGAGTATAAGGTGGGGATATCCTATAGGGCACGGCTTTGAAAGATTTTTAACCATTTTGCGGGCTTTTCTCGTACCACACAATTATGTCTGGAAGTAGGCAGTGATTACGTCTCTTATTTTGATTTTGTCCGAGGATGCTATTAAGTTTTTTTTTTTAGATAAAAGCAAATAGTTTTTATATGTTGTGTTGTATTCATAGAACTGTACACTTTTTGACAGATTTTAAGATTTTTTGTTGTCGTTTCCGTATTATTTGCTGGACTTACTGTTCCAGAAGTGTTAAAGGAAATGAAGTTCTCTATGTTTCCTCTCTTCCTTTTCTTTTTGATTTTATTTTTCTCGATGGCATAGTTCGCAGTGACAGGATTTTTTGTCATTCCTCGTATATGGTTGTTTTACTTTGGTATGGTGGCAGACTTTCAGGAATTTACATGTAGGTTATGTGCTGTAGTTCATCTAAATTTTTTGCATGATATATTGTACTGGAAATCACGTTGTTGCTGTTATTTATACAGCAGCTATTGACGCATGTGGCTTATCAAGCAAACGGTTTTGAGACGTGCTTAAATCATTTTAATCGTCTTTTTTTATTGCAGGAATTTTGCTTTTCACTCATTTAATTGATGTGTTCACGTTTTTATTGCAATACATTGTTTTTTTTCTTTTTTATTTGTTTAGCTTACACCAATATTATCTCTACAGGTTGTAATTGTCTATCTTCATTTCCTTCTCTTTTGACGCCATGTGCAGGAATTATTTGCCTTTGTTTTTTATGAGCGCAAGGCAACGGATCTGATTGTGGGTATCTTAGATGGTTAAGATCGCATATGATATCTATGATATCTGTATCACTTTCTGACAACTTCGTATCTTCGGTTTCATTTGCTTTGTAGGTGCACTCTGTGTAATTCGGTTTACTGAAATTATACAGATTTTTAGAATAGTTTACTCGGAGCGTTTATGCGGTTTTTTGCGTTTTTTTTGATGCTTATTGTTATCATTTTTTTTTGTGGTAATCAAACTACTTTCAAATTCCTTTTCTTCTTTTTTCTGGTTACCTGCTTTTTCACGGCAGATTATTGGATTAATAAAAGTCAATTATTGAGTAGGTTTACAGAAATAGAATCCTTTTGTGTAGTAATTAATTTTGATCGTATGCATGTTTTGGTTAGATTGTGAATACCAGATAAGATTTATTTGATATTGGTTGTTAATACCGTTTGTTGCTTTTTTGGTGACAAGTGTTTAGGAATCGGTAGCAGCTGGGATTGCCCAGTGTTAAGTTGTCGAAGTTTTTTAGCTTTATTTTGTTTGGTTTTGACATCCAGAAGGATCTTTAGCTTTGTTTTGTTTTGACATCTAGAAGGATCTTTGTTTTTGGTATTCAATTATATTTGAAATTTTTTTCCTACATGTTTTTTAAGATTTTTTAATGTAAAGGCAATATTTCTTTTATTTTTACCTTTTTTTTTGGGATTATTGATTCTTGGCTTTTAGATTCTGGTTATTCAGGCTTTATTTCTGTTTTCTTTGGTTTTTTGGCATTGAGTTTGGGGGTGGGAATGATTTATATACTTATAGTCTTTGCAATTGCTTGATTTGTTTTTGAAAGTCATTTGTTTTTTTGCTGTTTGGAACAACTTTTTTTGCCTGTTTTTTCCTTATTATGATTTTTTAAAAGATTATTCCTATTATTGCAACAGTGCTGTTGTATCGCACAGAAAATTCTTAAGTTTTTGAGCAGAGCCGTTGCTGTTCGTTAATGCCTTCAGTTTACGATATTTATGTATCGCTCCTAGCAAGCGCTTTATCGGTGCAAACGCCTGTAATTTTGCGTTCACGTTAATCCCACTACGATTTTTCTTCTCTTATTTTCTTCCCATGAATTTTTTGCTGTGTATTTTCAGGATTCGCTTAATTGAATAGGGTAGTGGTATTTTCCTCTACCTAGCTGAGAGGTTAAGGTCAGCGTCAGAAAAGCCATTATGGCGTATTCTTTTGAAGTTCAGAAAGTCTTGGATTTATTTCAACCGCAGGTTCTTGTTGCCTCAGTTTCTTTTTCACTGTATTTCTCTGATGGAGGGAGATGATGGAAAAGAAATGTAACTGAACAATTTGCAGTCAAGTAGTGGAAAATGAGTTATTTAGTTAGCAATAAGCGTTAAAGTTTGTTCTTTTACTTCTCACCTTTAGATCCCATAAAAATTCTAGAGTCTTTTATCTATAGGTCATAGTACAATGCAAATTGCATTTAAAAGTGCACTTAGAAATACACATATCAAGTGGAATTTTGTCTCGGCATGGGAGGTACTTCAAGATATTTTTTTTATTGTAGCAGTAATTTTTCCTGGGTATTTTTAGGATGACCATCTTTTTCAAATCAGTAAAAAAATTGAGGAACAGATTGAACTGGGTCTTGAGAAGGGAGCTGCTGAATCATCGATTGCTATGCTTCCTTCATACGTTCCTGAACTACCAGATGGAACAGGTTTGTTATAGGTTGTTTCATTTGCGTGTACAATAATTTAAGGTTTATTGCTTGGACTTGTTTTTCTACCACTTTTGTTTTATTTCTTCTCTCGCTTTGAAAGAATATCAATTTCTTTTCAGCACTTTTTACTGTTTTTTTAATACACATTGAAAATGTGTTTCTTGCAAGATATTTTTCAAACAGATATTTTAGAAGTTGGAAAATATATATCCATTGACTTAAGTGGGAAAAACTTGCGCATTATGTTATTAATTCTGAAGGGAAGAAACAATGAGCCAGAGCAGTTCGTTGATAATTACTGTATCCCGCAAGCTGTAATGACGGGATCTGGAGAAGAGGCGAGCCTGTTTTTTCTTTTTCGGCAAAATTGAAAATTATTTCAATTCAAATCTTACACTTTTTCAAAGGAATTTTGGAGCTTTGCTAGTTTGGTGGTTCTATTTTTCACCCATTCAGGCTGTTGACATCTAATCGTATTAACAGTGCTCCTTTTCATTACGACCAGTAGAGAAGTTGTGGCTACTGAACTGAATGAACAGGAAAATTTCTGTCTCAATTACTATGAAAGAAAATAAAGCATAGCTATAATTTCCTGCACCTTTAACTTAAAACTTCTCTCAAATTTTTAACACTATTTTTTCACTGCTTTTTCCCTGTCTTTACACTGGCTTGTGATTTTCAAAAAGTTTTTTTTTGATTAGTTAAGATGCTTGAAACTTTGAGTTGGTACCCAGTAATGCTACTACTTCCTTTTGAAATTTGTTAAAAAACGCAGAATTGTTGGGAAGTACATATGTTGGGGTTCTGGTTTTTGAGTTTCTAATTGTTTTTAGTTTGTTGCAGATATCTAACGGTCTTTATATATTCTTTTGTTTCAGCTTTTCACGTTCATTGTGAATTGTTTGTTAAAGTTTTTACGTGCAAACGAGTTGGTGCAATCGGACCTTAGCATCGGCTTTGTGTTTTCATTCCCTTGCAAGTTATACTCTATACGCTCTGCAAGGCTATTGTGGTGGACTAAAGGATTTGACATCAAAGACTGTCTACAGAAAGATGTTGTTAGTTTATTGGAGCAAGCTTTGGAACTTGGAATGGTATGCGGTCTTCACATATTAATCGTTCTCGTATATTTGTTGCTTCGGTTTTGGTTTTTTTTTTTCATTCTACTCTTTTGATTAACGGTATTTATGCTGTTGGTGTTTCATTGTGGGCACTTCGTTTTTTTAGCAGTCCAAAGTCAGTGTTAAAGCCGTTATGAATGACACTGTTGGCCAACTTATCGCTGCGTCGTACAAGTATGGTCCGAAATGCACAATGGGAGTTGTTATTGGATACGGGTTAGAAATTGTTTTATTAGACTGCTATTTCGGAATATCGCTGCTGATTGGCAGAGAGCGTTTCAGAAGTATTTTAAAGCATCTTTCAATTTTTCTGTAGTTTTCAGATATTTTATTAGAATTCTCATTTTTTAGTTGCAACTCCGCCTACCTGGAAAAAGCAGTGAACGTTAAAACGTTGAGTATGGAGAAGGTTCATTATGACGAGTTTAAGACTATGGTAATGGTTACAGAATGGGAGGAGTTCGGCCAGAACGTAGGGCCTTTAGTCGTCTTTGAATTTTTTGTGATAATTCTTTGTTTGATGTGTTATTTGATTATGTTGCGTATTTAGAATGTTTAGGGGAAAGTTTTGTTTTCATGCAGGACATGAAAGAAATCGTTCTTCTCAGAATTTTGTAGTTGTTTGATTTTTTTTAATGGAAAGGAACGTGACTGTTTTTTAGGGCGAATTTGAGTGTATGCTTACCCAGTGGGACCGAGAAGTGGATGAAAATTCAGTGCATAAAGGGAAACAGATGTGAGTTGCTAGTTATCGGGGTTTTTTTCGTAGAACCATTATCTAAGCTAGATTCACGTCATTTGTCAAGCAAGAACGAGTGTATTGCAGGTTAGATAAGTTAACTGGCGCTCTTTACCTTGGCGAGTTAGTTCGTCGCGTTCTTCTAAAGTTAACAATGGACGGTCTCATCTTCAGTGGGCGGCTGTGTGATAAGCTTGAAACCCCAGACATGTTTCCTACTAAATACATTTCTGAAATTTTAAGGTTTTTATTGTTACAGTTTTAGTATTGGGTATTTTCTCTGGAATACTGGTTTTATTTTTTTTATTCAAATTTAGTTTCTAAATCTTTTTGTTTGGTAATGCAGATGTTGCGTTTTAGTGAGCCAGAAGGAAATTTCAAAGCTTGTCGCAGAATTTGTGATGAATTGGACATTCCCAGTCATTGTGCAAATGACTACGAAGCCATGCATGATCTCTGCTCGAATGTGTCTGAACGTTCCGCTGGCATTGTTGCTGCAGGTGATATTTTCTCCTGTTTCCGCTATTTTTGACGAATTACGTCTTTTGAGACGTATAATTCGCTTATTTTTATTTTCTAATTTAAGTGTACAAAAGCTTGTCATTTTTTGCGATCTTTTTTTCTGCTTTAGCTATCGCAGCCTTATTGCGCCATATGAAGCAGACTGATATTCAAATCGGCGTTGGTGGAGCTTTAGTTCAATTTCATCCCACGTACCTTTTCCACCTTAACGAAAAACTGAAGGTGCTGGCTCCGAAAGATGTTAAGGTTTGTGGTAGCTGGTTGTCTCAATGTTTTGATTAAAATTGTCTTATTAAAGTTGCTGAGTATGGTTGCCCGAATACCTAAAAGTGTTGATTTTTTAGTGGGAAATCGTGATGGCTGATGAAGGAAGCGCAAAGGGAGCAGCAATAGTAGCTGCAGTTGCAGAAAAGCTTTTCCTTTAGTGCTCATATAAGTTCGACGTTTTCATGATGGAGTTTTACTTATATATTTTTGCGAAACCTTTGCTGTTCTAAACTATGATGACTGTTCTATTTTTTTGGTAAATATAGCAGAATCTGTTTGGTTTTTAAATATGCACTAACATCCACTCAAACTTTAATTGACAAAAGTTATTAATCAGTAGAAACTTCCTAGCGTATGCTCTTCTGCTGTTTTATCTTTTGTCCTACGACTGCCGTATGTTACAGTTTGTATATTATAATGGCTTGTTTTTGACATCTTGTTCCAGGTCGTATACCGCGTAAATCGTGTTCATTTTAAAATATTTAATCGGCTTATGAAAAATTAGGACATCAGTTTACTACTTTGCTAATATTAATTTGCTGTTCTTGTTTGATATTGTGAGTTTATGCGTAGCGCTAATGTTCTCTCATAATATTACATAATTTTTCATGCGCTAAGTGCGGGTATGTGGCATTTGGTGTCATGATTCTTATTTTCTAAGTTTTTGAGGCTTGGAAAGATGGCTTTTAGTGATGACATTTTTACATTATTATAGAATAAATTCTGAGTAAAGTTTCTTACAGCTCAGTTGTTGTCTGTCTCTTTGCTTGAGGCGCGAATGGAATTGATATGTCAGAAGAAATATTTTTGGTTTGTTTCCGGTTATGGGCTGCGCCTTGCCAAAAGTTTTTGGTTTCGTGGTTCGCTTAAGTAGTTTTATTTCGTTTAGCCCGTTGCGGGGTGTTGTGGTCGGGTTTTCTGCAGCAAAGAAACCGTACCCCGCGTATGTTACAGCTGGTAAGCAGATCGGCGCCTTTTAAGCAATACTACTATTCCAGATGTGGGGATCCTTTTCGTGGGGAGGTGTAGGTTTGCTGTTGAGAAACGTGTTGTACAAGTTGGGTGCTTCCGAAGAAAAAGTAGGTTGGGCTTTGCGTGAGTGCTCAAGGAAGATGAGCCGGTTTTGGAATTTGGTTTTTTGGCTGACAGCTGAAGCATGTATTCTAGAAAGCTTTAGGCAGACAGTGTGGCAAAGTGAGTCTGTTTCATGAGCGACCATTTGGTTTTGAACAGTAATGACGACGTGTACGACAAGTAGATTCACGTGTGTTATCTGCTGGTGCTTTGGACGTAAGAACAGCATAAATTTTTGAGAGGTGTTGAAGTGAACAGGATTTTTGATTGGCTTTCTAACTGGCGAAAATATGTATAAAGCAGGTGGTTGACTTACTGTTTATCTGAACTATTAATCCGAGGTAACTGGATGGTTGGAGAAAATGTTTTTTTATAGCAACTCTTCAGTTAAGGCAGTCTATTTGGTGTAGTTTTTTACGTCTTTAGCGATCAAATAGATGAGCTTCTTATGGTTAGGTTGATTTGTGTCAGTAATGATAGGACGAACAATTTTTAAGTGATACCTTGTCATTTATGTGTTACTAGCAAAGGTAAATAAAATTTATTTTTTTTTAGAACTTTATTTTTATGGTGCTAGAGTTATTAATTATCGGCTGGAGATTGGATTTATTTTGGATTTTGGATAAAATGGATTTGTTTTCTATTTTTTGGCAGCCTTGGTTCATCAGTTTTTTGGCAGTCTTGGTTTATCAGTTATATCTATATTTTATTTTTTTCTTCAGACGTAACACAGTTTATTCTTTCTGAAGAGTTCACTAGTTGTCAGCGGTAATCATAACATTATCTGCCAATAATGTAATCGAGCTCAAAAAAGCGTTTAAGGAAGAGTAAATTACTGTCAGGGTTACTGATTTTTACCGTATTCGCAACCTGGGCAGTACCGGAGTTGGGGAATCATAGCCCAAGAATACTGGTGCCAGGGCCGTTGCTACGGCTGTGTTCATCTTACTGCGAAACGCCGCTGATTTTACCGCGGTTTGGCACGTGTTCCAAGGTTCTTAGACAATACTGCAATTGCCCGCAGGTGTGTAGTGCTTGCTTAGTGCCTTTACAAACAAATGCGGCTGAGTAACTGGCTAACTGTCTGTGTATCAGACAGATACTGCTAGCAGCACCCACATTTTCTAACCGCTTCTCGTGGCTTATGTTGCGTCTAATCTTTCATCGTTGATTAGTTGCAGCATCTCAGGCATTGTTTGGTTCACAGCTAGTTGAAGAAAAAACTACTGCCGTTGTTGCTGCTGATGATAATAGTAGTTTTATTTACTGTTAATTCTATATTCTGCTGATGCTGCATCTATGGCTCCTGCTATAAGCCAGCTGGAAGGAGAGTGTTGTTAAGTAGATGTTAAGAAGGACAGGAGAAAACGTGAATGATTCGGATAACTGTGGATAACTGTTTGATTTTTTCAGAAAACACTTTCCTCTGTTTTATAATTTCTGAATGCTATTTTTTTGGTGTTTTCTTCCATTACTGTATGAACATTAAATGAAACTAGCTTAAGTTGCTAAGTGATGTGTGGGATAAGTTAATTAGGGTAGAAATCAAAACTGAAGGCCGTGGAGTGCGCTTTAATGGAAAAAATATCTGCGAGAGCGGGTGCAAAAGTTCTTGGAAATTTCCTCTATTTTATAGGACATTTTCTAAATGTAAAGTAAATTATTAGGTAATGGTGATAAGAAGTGAAGTTTTTGGATGCATATGTGGACGTTATGTTTTTTTGCTTTTATCCGTGGAACTAAAAGCTGTTAAGGAATCGCTTGCTTTATTTTGTTTCAGATTATTATTTTTTTTGGCTTCTACCTAATCCATGGAGGAAATATTAAAGATAAATAGTGAACTTCATAGATTGCTGCAAATTAGCAAGGCTTTCTACGGACTGTTTCAACAGATTTAATGCGCTGAACAAAGTTGTGTTTTTGAGCGCAGAGTGAATTTGTTTCTTAAAAGATTTTTTGTGTAATTTACGTTTGCTTTGATAACAGCTGAAGTGCTAATTCGAACTAATGTAAGACGAAACGCTTTTGCTTGCTTTTTTTTGAATAGACTTTTCTTTTTTGTTTTTTTCTCATTTTTTTATTTTTTGTCTTTATTGATACATGAAGTCTTTTTTATGCTCTTACCATTTTGTAAGTAGATAAATAAACAAATAAACAAATATATAGGTTAAAGATAATTGAATAAGTAGGTAAATAAATGAATAGGTAAATAAACAAATGAATGACTGTATCTATGCATGTATTTATGTATAAATAAATAAACAAATATATAAGTAAATAGATTTCTAATTAAATAATTAATTGATTGGTTGGTTGATTAATCGGTTAATTAAGCAGGTACACAAATGTATATATATATATATATATATATATATATATA